TTAACAACTTCTACTTTAAATGTGGATTCAGATACACTTTATATTGATAATAATGATCCGGCTAAATGGATTATTAATGATGTAACTCGCGATTATGTGGCAAAACACGGAATAAATCAAAATTTAAATGATGATTTTACATGTTCTAAACGTGAGTATCCTGACAAAAATAGATTTTTAAATAAATCATTATTTGTTAGAACACGTATAAATGGTGAAGTACAGTCACGACCATGGTTAGTGTTTTCGAAATCTACTGGTTCAGTGTTTTGTGCACCATGTCGACTCTTTGGAAGTACACATTTATCAACATTAGTAACTATTGGTTTTAATGATTGGAAAAATGCTGTACGAAAATTAAACGAGCACGAAAATTCTATCCCTCATAAAACTTCAACAGTTGCATTAATTGAAAGGGGAAAAACTGCAGGTAAAATAAACCAAGAAATTGTTTTGCAATTAGAACAAGAAACCAATTATTGGCGAAATATTTTAAAAAGAATAGTTGCTACTGTACGTTCTTTAGTAATTCGAGGGTTACCACTGAGAGGCAGTGAAGAAAAATTTGGGTCGTATCATAGTGGTAATTTTATTATGACATTAGAACTTTTAGCAGAATTTGACCCCTTTCTATTAGAACATATTCGCCATTACGGTAAAATCGGTAGTGGTAATACATCGTATCTATCTTCACAGACATACGGAGAGTTTATACAAATTATGGCAGAACAAATTACAAAACAAATAGTTGAAGAAGTCAAAGTTTCAAAGTATTTTTCGATAAGCGTTGATTCGACGCCCGACGTATCCCATGTTGATCAGTTGTCTTTTATCATAAGATACCTTTCAAAAGATGGTACTCCTATAGAACGATTTTTAAAGTTTATTGCCAATACTGGGCATAAATCTGAACAACTTGCTGATGCAGTTTTTGATACACTTAATCAATATAATTTGGATTTTAAAAATTGCCGCGGGCAATCATATGATAATGCCAGTAACATGGCTGGTAAATACACTGGCCTTCAAGCCAGAATTAAAGAAGTCATTCCGCTTGCCATTTATGTTCCTTGCTCAGCACATTCCCTAAACCTTGTGGGGATATCTGCCGTGGATTGCTGTGAAAAATCGACAACATATTTTAGGTATCTACAAGAATTATATAACTTTTTCACAGCATCTACCCATCGTTGGGAAATTTTACTATTTTATTTAAAAAAGGCCAAGTGTGTAAAAAGTTTGTCTCAAACCCGATGGTCAGCAAGATACGAAGCGGGTAAATCTTTATATACTTCTTGGAGTGAAATTAAAAACGCTTTACAGGCTATTATTGACGATGCCAATGAAAAACCTGTAACAAAATTTGACGCTTTGGTTCTTTTGAAACCTTTAAATACTATAGAAATGTGCTTTATGGCTGTTTTTTGGAACGAAGTATTAGAAAGGTTTCATATAGTTAATAAAAAACTTCAATCAGTTAATATTGAATTAGGAATGGTCGTTGAATTATATGGATCTTTAGAGCAGTATATATCTAGAATTAGAAATAATTTTGAAGAATATGAAAGAAAAGCTATACAAATATGCGGTGAAATACAGTATAAAAAAGACAAGCGGAGAACTGTTAAAAGAAAACGTCAATTCGACGAAACAATGAATGAAGTGATAACAGAAACAGGCAAGGAAGATTTCAGAATAAATGTATTCTTCGTTATATTGGATAAATTGAAAGCTGAACTTGTAAGACGTGGCAGTTCGTATAAAGATTTATGTGTCAAGTTTGATTTTCTTACGAATATATGTAGTTTTGACGAGGAAATTATTTTTAAAAAAACTAGGGCACTTATAGAACAATATCCTAATGATATTGAAGAATCATTTACAAATGAATGTCTTCATTTGCGTGATCATCTTTTTTTTAAATCGGACAAAAAAAGAAGCGCTCAAGAACTTTGTCAGATGTTGTATACAGATGAATTAATAGATATTTACCCAAACGTCACAACAGCGTTACGTATGTATTTGTGCACGTTTGCAACAAATTGTACAGCAGAGCGGTCATTTTCAGCATTAAAAAGAGTAAAATCGCATCTTCGTTCAACTTTGGAGTCAGATAGATTAAATGCGACATCAATACTACATATAGAATCTGAGATGCTTCGAAGTATAAATTATGATGATATTATCGACGATTTCGCGACTAAAAAAGTTCGTCGTAAAATGTTATAGATAACATAGGTATAAGATTTAAACATTTACACTGCTATTTAGAATTTAGAATTATTTGTTTTGTTTATAATGACTATTGACCTAATTTATTTAAAATTGAAATAAATTTATTGGAAATAATAACATCATTTTTTTTTTTTCTTGGGATAGGGGCGGCATATTTAAAATGGCCTAGGGCGGCACTTGTTCTAAATCCGGCCCTGACCCTAACATGTATAAAATATATAACTATTATATATTGGTATTTAATTTAATATATTAATAACCATAGTGAAATCCAATCTGGAAAAATTTTATGGAATGTTGACCGGTATTCACTGGAAATTCCAGTATTATAATTTATAGTATCCACTATCCACTTCATTTGAAATGATTGTGTAAATAAAAAAAGTTTCTACAGCATATTCGATAAACCCGTTTCAGTCATATACCTAACTACAACTCAAAACGAACGTAATCTTGTTTTTATCCAGAATATTTTAACAGCATAACAATTTTACGAAAGTTATTTGGAAAAAATATCATAATATGTCTCACGCGGTCAAATATTTAAATAAATTAATGGAAAATATTTGAAGAACGGTGTTTTACATGCACGTAAACTGTAATTCCGGTCTCATAACGATAGCTAAATGAATAAAACCGTAAATCCGACACCCGTGTATCCACCTACGTACAATAAATCTACAAAAATAATTATGATTTATAATAATTGATAATATTTTGAAACGATAATAACTACACTACCCGTCCCGTGACAATGCGGCGACAGACCGGTTTTACACTAATGTGACTAATGAGTAATGAGTTATGACCAATTATTGAACATACTTTGGTTATCGTGTATCTATTAATCCTTTTATTTTCCCTTTAAAAAATCGGCGCTAACAGCGACTACTTGACGGGACATATGCGTTTGAAATACATGTACCTAAAACCATTAAAATATTTATGCGCACGTTGGGTAACGATCGTCACTCGTATAATGGACAATATGTTGTTAATTGTTATAGTCATTTTTCAATAATTTATAAATTATCCTTTCTAAAAATAAGTATTCCTATTAAAAATAATCAGTTTTCATCGAAATAATGACATTGCGATGTATCTTCGATTGACAAGCTTTATTAAAACATAATAATCTATTAAAAAATGATACTGCAGGCGTAGCCCATGTACATTCTGGTATTCGATCACAATCAATTTTTTATCGAAATGCAAGACAAAAATTTAAAAATATAATTATATTACCAATGGTTCGCTTTAATAATAGAATGAACTTTATAAACAAGTTTACTTTATAGTTTACTTCGATTAGTTCAGTACTTAATTATAAATTTATTCAATTAAGACGTTTTAGTTTTACCTAAACTGTTTCTCTTTCTTTTATGTATTTTATGATAAATGTTGAGTATTATTTATACTTATGAATTAGTAAAATAATAATAACCAATATTACCGATTAAAGCCGATATTTTATCAATATTTTACTAATATCAAATATCAATCACCTAAAACTTTATTATTTTGATCAAAATAATATTATGAAATATTATGAGGAAAATGTATTTATTTTAATATAATAAATAAATAAGAATGATACAATTTTTAAAAGTATCAGTATCCATTTAAAAATTTCAATTTTAAGACACTTTTAGTAAAAATAATAAGTAATTATAATATAAACGTACCTATAATCATAGGTACCTATCAAATTGACTTTTAGTTACCAATTACTTCTTTTTCATATTAATTAATTACTAAATTACAATTAGGTAAGTATCTACTAGGTACCTACCTCATTAATTAGATACCGAGATACCTTCTATTCTTTCAATATACGAAAAATAACAAATCAAAATTACCTTAATCTATTGAAGTCTGATGACATAAATAGGTATCTATAAAAATGTTGATCCGCTTGAACTAAATGCACCGACATACGTTTACGGTTTATGTTAATATTTAAAAATTTAACGATATCGAGCATGTTTAAATTGTGTACAAACTAAAAGTGTTTTGTCTAGTCATCATTTTATGTAATTTGTAATGCTTTTGTTCAATATCAAGTGTTTAAAAACACACGTGGTATACGGTAAACCACTATACCAGTGAAAAATGTACCAACTAATTATTTATCACGATACTACAATACACAGATTAATATTATATTATAAATAATTATAATATAGGTATACCTGAATAATATGAATACGTAGGTATCAAACTATCAACATTTTTTTTCTTTTGATTACCGTATGACATTATCACGGTATGTACCGCGATCGGGTATGAGGATTTCTCGCGGGTTAGTTTATTAATTGTTAACTAAAGTATTCTGTCTTATCTCTCCTAGTTAATTATGAAAGAGAAATTTGTTCTATGATGTGAAATTAGAGGATTAAGAATTGCATTTTCTCATCTTCACACCTACTAATTTGTTATGATAGCTATCAAACATTTTAAACTGTTTGAACGATTGAGAGAATAATTAGGTATTCAAAGCTTCAAAACAAATATTAATTATAATTGTATGCATAGAAAAATTAAAAAAAAATTTTTATCAAAGAAAATGTGTGTAATTAACATTTACAAGATGTTTAATTCACGCAATACTTATTTAACTTCTGGTAATATTATTTTTACATACCTACTCATTCAAAATTCATGATTTTATACAGAATCTTAATTTATTTTATTCAATATAATTTTTTTTGTACTTAAAATAGTTGATTACATAAAATATTAAACTTAATTATATGTATAACATATCACAAGGACATTTTAAGGATTAACTCATTCAATAGAGACTGTGTTGTTTCCTGTACTTTTTTACGTAACAAAAAGTTCAAATCATACACTGAATTTACTGCATAGTAGACGTTGGCTGACATTGGTAAGATCACTTCTGAAATATCAGTAACAAGAAATTAATTCAGTTAAGAATAATTTTATGAAATACAACAATAATTACACAAACCTTTATCAGGTAAAACATGGGACAGAGTATAGTTTTCTGGATCATCATCGATACAAAATTTCAGCAAAGCATTTCTAATCACTTGTGGTGTTCGTTCATTGTTACTCAGTATAATACTTTTGTATACAACAGCTTCTAAAATATATCAGGATAATTAAAGTATAAATTAATTATTTTTTAATATTCTAGCATTTATAACAGCATTTTTTTATTTTATTTTAAGTTTTGCATTTTATAACAAAAAGTTTTTAGAAAAAATTATAATAATTTTTTTAATTGTAGGTACTAATTCAATCCATTTCTAGATTTATGAACTACATGTAGTTAGTTTAAAATGTCAGATTTCTATAAATTAAAAATTAATTTTTAAAAAAGAAAAAACATTTTTCTATGACCTTGATTCTGATCATATTTTAAAAGTAAACTTGGTTTTAAATAGTTTGATATTATAAATTATAATACATATATATAGTTATGACTATTCAAAACTAAGCAATTACAGTATGATGTATTTATATTCAGTATTTACATGCAGCTTAATAATAAAATTAAATTTAAAATTTATTCATACCATCAGTTTTGACACTATCAGCATCAACCATTATCCGAATAATATAAAAATCAGATGAAGTGTTGAATATTGAATTGTTAACACTGCCTTTAACTAAAATATTAGTTTTATTGCGATCATTTAGTGACATGTCAAAAGATTACAAATAATAGTTACTTGATCGAGAAGATGTGAAGTAATGCATTTTGCAACTCAAAAAATATACATTTTTATAGTAAATATTCTTTGTAGTACTGAACTTATCAGGTTTATGCTAGACAATAGTCTGTCTAAAAGGTTAATTAAATATTTATTTTATATACAATGGTATATATTATACAGAGTGTAACAGAAATTACTAATAGATGTAATTAATCAATTAAGTTGTAACCTCCAATATTTTTGTAATTTTTTTAATTATTATCTAAATTTAGTAATAACATAAAAATTGATATTAAATATAAAAAATCTAATATTGAAGAGAATAAGTTATGACATGTTAGTTAATTACATTTATTAGATATTTTTGCAACATTCTACATACTAAACAAATATTTTAGTCCCAAGTTTTATTAAAATATAAATAAAATTAAATAAATATTTCAAAAACAGTAGGTAAATCACTTTGTTTCAATAACTTTAAAATTACATTTATTAGTGATAACTGATAAGTCATGTTCTTAATCTGATAGTAAGATAGGTACTTCATTGTAATATCAACAGTATTGCACATTTTTATTTCAATATTTTTAATTCCAGTGTTTCAACTGTTTTTACATTTTTGACTTTTTAAACACTTGGTATTCAATCGAGCCAATAATCAGGATGAAATAATGAAATAATGGCACGTTGGTCAATTTATCATTTAGTTTAAGTACTACTAAAATATACTTTTTACCCGTTTATGTAATTATTTAGTGAGTACAAACCATCATCAGAATAATCCATACATACTTATACTACATTTATCAGAAATCGAATCATTCTTTTTATATTCATAGCCGTAAAAAATATCTCTAGTCATTCATAGATATTTTGATTTAGTAATTCAAAATGTTGTGCTCATCAATATGTTATATTTAACAGTTATTAAATAATATTTACTTCATACTTGTTGTTTTCCAGTTCCTATTATTGATTGTTCATAATTATAGTACATTATTTAATGGCTCTACTTAATAAAAAATTCTGAATACTTCTCAATTATACAAAATTAAAATTAAATGAAACTAATGATCAAATACTAAATCTTTAATTATGTCGCATGAATTTTTACCTCTTGAATAAGCTTAATTTAATATAGAAAAACAATTAAGAAAAAAATATTCACAACAATATTACAGATAGTGGAGTACCTATTTAATAGGTATGCAGGTACCATTCCAAAAAAAATTTGTAGGGGGTGTTTTTTTCAACATTGATGTTAAAGTATTGCATGCATATTTACCCTATGGTACTTATAATATACATTTTCGGTATTCAGGTTTTAAATAACTATGTTACCTATGTTATATGTATTATAATAGACAAAATGTTACCACAATAGCCAAATTGATATCTATGTTTATATTCTATCGTCATCATTGAGATTTGAGAATATTTTCATTTTCAATGTTTTAGTATTTAAATTACATTTGTTTAGCATACATACCTAATTAAATTATATTTTACGATAATTCAATCAGTGGGGTACATTTCAGTTATTTAGGGCAGCAGTTTTCTACAGCCTACAATCGGGAAACATATTAATTTGCCCCTAATTACAGATAATTAAATTTAAAAAAAAATCTAAAAATTATACACAACTAAACTAATACTTAAATTTATTTTTTTCTTTCAAATGAATTATACCGTCAGAAAAAAGATAAGGAGTTGCAGTAACAATCATGGTCAAATAAATTAAAAGTATCCTTTTAGTTCCAATGTTCAACTTTTAAAGTTATTTCATCAATTTCTTGTTCAAATAAGAAAATCTTTTGTAATAATACATAATGTAACTCACGCTCATACTTTGTTACTTTTGAATATTTTTTTTATAATTGTCTATCATTAGGTCTAATATGTGCCTTCTCTTATTAATAATTTTTCTTGCACCCATTAATTATTTATTTCACTAAATATTCACAAGTTCTTGAACAATTCCACCTAGGGATTTTTTTTTTTTTCATATGCAATAATCAGAAAAATTGTACTTTGTTATTTTATATTGTTTACTTGATCAGTAATAGCTTTTCCAGAAGAACCTAATGTCATATTTTCTTTAATCTAAGTATAGAGTTAGATTGTACAGATATAATTGCCTTCAATGAGGAGAAATTCTTAAACACTCTTAATTCCTATAAAAATAAGAAAGTTAATTAATAATCTTTTTATATTATTGCCATTACAGTACTTGATCAATATCAATCAACATTTTAATAATGTGTAGTCTATCTAAATTGATTGCTAATATCACAGTATCTAACGGTCGATAAGTGACATGATGTTGAATTGATCAATTGTAACAAAGATTATGGGTAAAGATATTACTTTTTTATTATTAGACCAAAATGCAGTTAAACATTGATGAAGAGCCATCATAAACAAATTAAATATAGGTTAAAAATGTTGATATTAAGTATGAAAATAAAATACGATTGCATACAAGGTCTGTTTAAGTTTACTGTTCAGGATTTACATTTTGCTATGTTAATAAAATTATAAAAAGAATCTAGAAAATTAGCAATAACTAATTTATAATCATCACTAATAAATATTAGTAGTGTATAGAATTTTTTTTTAATCAGCTTAGTATTAAAAAATTTATGGTGAGTAAATTTAACAAAGCAAATTATTTACATTCTTTTAAAAGTCTTTAAATTAATTTTATGTGAACTTTAGTTTTTAACCATTTAGTATTAAATATGTATATACATTAATTCCCCGAGTTGATAAGGTTAAGTATGTTGACTAAAATTTAATATTGATAAAATAACTATTACAAAAATAAAAATGACACACTAGTAACTGTTTAACATGAACTCTTCTACACTACCTTTAGTAAACAATTATGTTAATTCAGAATAGCACTAAGTTATTCCAAACTGAATAATCTCATCATTGGCTCAAGCGCATATCTTCATCAGTCTCTATTGTATATTTTCAACTAAAATTTAAAAAAAAAACCAATTTAATACATTTTTAAATTGCATTATGTAATACCTCATCAGCTAAATAGTTACTAGTTTAGTAAAAATTTGATGTAAATTAAAAACCAATCAAATTATTCATAGTCTTAGCACATAGTTTGTGCCAATAGTCAACATATTTGTGTTGTAATTGATTACATTAATACGTTAAGTACAGGGCGGGCATTAAGATTAGTGAGGCCTTAGTCAAAATATGCTAAAAAGATTACATAGTTGTACCTAAGTACTTTCTTACATACAAAACAAGTGCTAGACTTGGAGGAGGGAAGTGGGTATCCTTGTATCAGGTACTGTTGGTACAAGGGCGCTCTTAAATTTATGAAAAATAAAAAAAAACCATGAACATAAAATAAATAAAAATATATATAAATTATAACATACTTCTAAAAATTTCCATCAAGAAAAAAAACATAATACTGCATTTTAATTATTTAAAAATATGATATTATAATATTTATCTTTTAACTATTTTTGTCGTCTTCCATATAGTTCTACTTTTCTAAATAATTCTTATTTTTAATAAATTATTATTTATGATTAGCAAGTTTGGATAGTAAAAAACTTAAGAAAATATAATAAAAAAGTGTAGGAGTTTAGTCGCTAAGCACTGTTCCACCCCCCTAGCCACAGCTCTGTGATTAGGTAGAGATTATAGTTGTTTTATTTATTACAATTGAGTCTCGATAACTCAATTTTTTTTTTTGTCCCTAGGAAATTCCTATACACTCAATGCAATATTTGTCACAATAAGTCAAATATATAAGTAATTGAGCATAGATAACTCGAGGTCGTTTCTTACATTTTATCATTAGAATAACCGTTTTACAATCATAAATGTACAAATGAAACTATCACTATGTACTATTGTGCTGTAAAATAATCTATCGTTTACATATATCTTTGTTGAGTAGCGTGTAAATTTTGTAGTTATGTCTCTTAAATGTAAATTGGTTTCATTAACAATTGCTGAAAAATTGAACATAAAAGTGAGGTGACTAAAAGTGGAAAACTGAAAAATAAAATTGACAAGCAATTTAATATTCTACTAAGACTCAGTACACTTTCAACTATTCTGACTTTATTTTAAAACAACTTAAACATCAAACTCTTATTTCAAGTTATTTTTCTAAATTGTAAGATCTAAAATGTAATCTTTAAATACATTTTTAATTAATAAATACATATATAGAAAATGAGTTTTAAAATTTAATTTTTAACTGTAATTGTAGTTATTAATAACTAATAAGCGTACATATAATACTATTTCTAATAAAAGCAAATTAAATAAAAAATAATAATATCTAACTCAATTTTTTTTTTGTATTTTTAAAAAAATTCGAGTTGTGTAACTCGAAAAATACAATAATCGATTTAATTTTTCTTGACATCCGAGTTACCGAGACTCAACTGTATTTTATACATCTAATGGAGAAAAATTAAATCGAAATACAAACAAAACATGTAAAATTTAAACACGAATTAGTAATTATTATAGATCCACACCTAACAGAAACTTTAAATGATAGATTGTAAATTTATAATAATACAATAGTAAAAATAAAATAATTAGTGAATAAATATAATTTTACCATTATGACAAACATACTCCATGTTTAAAGTATAAATAACTGAAAATAATATGTTATCTGTAGTAAAAACTATTGACTTTTACTTTTGTAGTTTGCTGGAAATTGGTATTAACATATGTTAAGAAGTGAATGGATTTTGATATATCTAAGTAAAATCGTATTGAATTTAATTATATTTTGTAATTTTTAAGTATATCTGAAATTTTGTTTGTAATTATTGAAATATTGGTATCACACTCTCTCTTTAAAATTGTTTCTATCATCTCGTCCAATATAAATATTTCTTATTTTAGAATTGTAAGAGTAAGTTCTTTGGATTGTTTTAAATGTTAACACAATTATTTAACTAATTTTATAAATAGTTGATATTGTGATATTATTTAGTTGTGGTCTCACTTATTTGTTTACCTGCGTTTATGTTACGAGCAAAGTAGACTTTCGAGCAATGTGAACATTGCCCGGGCGTTATAGTACTGCCCGATTATGATGGGCAATGTAGGAAAAATTATACATTGCCTAGACTTGTAATGAACTCAAAAACATTATATTTTAAATAAGTTC